TGGATGGCATTTGTGTCTATGCGAAATCCTTCAAGTGGGAGATTGTTGGGTTATTCGGTGAAGGCTTTAGAGCTTTGGGCTTTAAGCCCGGTCGGCTAAAGGGGAGAAATATGGGGGGCCGGTTTTAGTTATTAATTAAAGGGCCCATTAGTTGTTTCTTGTTTAGCAAGTTGTTAACCCTAGTTTATATCTTATAAATACCCAATCATGTAACTATAATCTGTGAGCACCTAATAAAAGATAAACCCTAGTTGCAACCCGTGGAGTAGGTTACTGACCGAACCACGTTAAATCTCGTGTTCTTATTTTCTGCTATTTGTGTGTGTGTGTTTGTTCGCTTCCGCTTGACCGTCTCTGATCTCTGATTCCTAACACACCGTAGGGTGCTGATAATCCAATATGGACTGAGTGTCATAATATGACTACAAACCCAGTGTCAAATGAACTTGGTTGATGTTTTAGTCCTTAATCTCCTTATTTTATATGAGGTCACTTTCTATGGTAATTATGTATTTTGTGTTAAGGAAGATAGTATATCTGGTGTGCTTTCTTTTGAACTTAACATGGATTACTTCAAGAGTTTTATATTGTTCCCACACATGTTACTAACTTTGTTTACTCTCATGTTCCATTGATGAGACTTGGAGTGAAACTTGCAATATATCCATTCGTATATATTTTGTTATCCAATTTATTGTTTTCGCTTTTTCGGAATTAGTTGTCAACATCGCAAATCCAATAAATTGTCCAAAATATTCTAGGGATAAGGTATGAGCATTGTTGAAATGATAAAGTAACATATTCATTTGTAGGATCTATTTGGAGCAAATTCTACAAATGGTTCCTAATTACATGTGGTTTTCCATATTTAGTCCCCAATTTTAAGATATTTAGTCCCCAAATTCTATAAATGATTCCTAATGGTCCTCAATTTTTTAAAATTATTATATATTTGGTCCCTCAACGACTATATGTGGAAAAAATATTTTGTCATATTTCCCCTAAATGACTATTTATGGAATAGTTTTCAAAAATTGAGGACCACTTATGTAATATCTTAGAATATGGGACTAAATGTAGAAAACCACCTGTAATTAGACACCATTTATGGAATTTACTCATTTATTTGAAATTTTAAACTCATTTCCTTAAAAAAATTAGATTTCTTAGGAAGTGGACAACTACATCCCAATGGAGGTGTAAATGGTTGTGTTAATGCCAATATTAGTGCTTATTGGTTTAGTATCCTCGAATAAATTGTTGTCCTCTTACAAGTAATACAATGAATACAAACCACCTGACTCGAACGCCCCCACTCAAGAAAAATAAGAAAAAATTGCAATACCTGTTTTTGTTTGCATGGCTGTCTTCTCATATGCTTGAGTGAACATGTTTTAATATCATCAATCGTTTACCCAGAAGATAAATAATACATTTGGTTGTATTATTTAGGTACTAGAAAAGTTGCATAAAGCAAGATGGGGTCCAGAAGATGGGGTTGGGTGCATCATATTGTCTCCTACAAGGGAATTGGCTGACCAACTGTTTGATATATTGAGATCTGTTGGAAAGCATCATGAATTTAGTGCTGGCATGCTGATTGGTGGACGAAAAGACATCGACACTGAAAAAGAACGTGTAAATGGGATGAATATCTTGGTCTGTACTCCAGGCCGGCTTCTTCAGCATATGGATGAGACTTTAAATTTTGATTGTTCGCAGCTTCAGGTACAAGTACCAGCAGTATGTGTTAAGTGTTTTGTTTATTATTTCAAAAAAGGGTCTGATGTTATGAGTGTTCTTTGTTGGAGTAGTTTCATCCAATTTCCTTTATCCTTTGGACAATCATTCTAAAACAAATAGATTCAGAAATATAATGTGCATGTATATGGTTACAGAGCCTTATTTGTTACCGCATAATTAATACCCCGTAATAAAATGAGTCGCCGGCCATTTTGCATTGTTTTTTTCTAATTTTTCATGTGAAGTCTTGATGATTTTTAGTTTCTTACTTGGTTTATGATTTGATTGAATAGATGAACTGATGTGTCAGTATATGTGGCTTGGTAGTTTTTAACTCAGATTGCATTTTTCTGGTTGACAAACAGATATTGGTCCTCGATGAGGCAGATCGTATTCTTGATGAAGGATTCAAGAAACAATTGAATGCAATAATTTCACAGTTGCCTAAACACCGACAAACCTTATTATTCTCTGCAACACAAAAAAAGTCTATAAAAGATCTTGCTAGGCTCAGTCTAAAAGATCCAGAGTACCTGAGTGTGCACGAGGACTCTATTACTGCCACTCCTAGTGGTTTGATGCAGACAGCAATGGTTGTTCCTCTTGACCAAAAACTGGATATGCTATGGAGCTTTATAAAAAAGCACCTGAATAAAAAGATATTGGTGTTTCTTTCAAGTTGCAAGCAGGTAAGAGAAATGTTGATGAATGATGTTGAAACCTTACGTTCTTTGTGGACTTATATGTTATTGCTGCTTGTTGTTGTTTTTATTATTATGACAACAAGGTTTGTTGTCAAAAGAAGCCAACCTTTATTATAAACATTATTATAATTATATTAATAATATGTAAAGAAAGTGAATAAAATATTGATAATAGTGTACATGCCATTTAATTAAGAACTAAGGGAGTAGTATAATTATTATTTTTTAATTTAAAATATTGATGTTTTCTCAAGTCAATTTAGATTAATAAAATATCCAAAATTTGTGGAACATAGTTTTGTAACATGTAAATTAATAAAAAAAATCATTATCCCAATAAAATTGTACTTTGTATTATTTATATTAAAAAATGCAAGAAAAAATAATGAGTGTGAATCACTACAACATTGACATGGAAAAAATTAAAATAAAAAATTGGAAAAATTTATAAACCATAGTTGTGAACATAATAATAATAATAATAATAATAATAATAATAATAATAATATCCATAATACATGGAAAATATATCATTTTAGAGTCATTATTTGGAAAGTAGAAAAAGATTCAAGAAAATGGGAATAATTTGAAAGACTGAAAGAAATTGGAAGTTAATAGTTTAAGCTCTAAAGAAAAAGCTCTAAGTAGTAACAATATAGAGCCTTATTCTCAAATGACTTGTCCCAATTCCATTGTGTTGCTCAAATGACTTGTTCCAATTCCATTGTCCCGTTATGTTCTTTTTACACCCTCAATCTATTATAACAAACATGCCCAAACCAACATATTCAGTTCTGTTTTGTTATATCTTCCAGAGCTGATTCTCAACCGACGTCATGATTCTTTGTACTGTGAACTCTTGCTTTTGTAGTATTGCCACATTTCTATTTTTATCATACATATATCGATCATGTGTTTCACACCTTTCTTTTATATATCCGAGAGATTTTTATATACTTGAGAAACACATACCCCTTATTTATAGTCGTAGTTGATTTTACATCATCTTATGTTAAAGTCATGTGACTGTAGCTTATCTCTGTAGTTTGAATTAACATTAATCCCTGTTTTTGGTGCATCAGTCATCAACCAACAAATAATGTATACAATCATCATATATGGTACTGCTTGGATAGACCTTATTACCACATCCATTGTGGTTGTGAAGAGGAAGGGACTAAAATCTCTTCCTTGATATACCCACTTGTGAGGGTGAATTTCTTAGTCTTTCTACATTGTCTAATCTTTGTTAATCTGATTCCTTTTCTGATTATGAGTATACATTCTACAGGTAAAATTTGTTCATGAAGCATTTAGGAAGCTTCGGCCTGGAATTCCACTTAAATGTCTTCATGGAAAGATGAAAATAGAGAAAAGGATGGCAATATTATCCCAATTTTGCGAGGAAACCAGATCCGTTCTTTTCTCCACAGATCTTGCTTCACGGGGCCTTGATTTCAACAAGGCTATTGATTGGGTTGTCCAGGTTAACTACAAAGTTATTGAAGAAAATAATGTGTTCTCATTTCAATATAGTGGGAAATTTGATTGCTCTTGTTGGCCAACTTATGATTCAGGTGGACTGTCCCGAAGATTGTGCAGCTTACTTACATAGAGTTGGCCGTACTGCTCGTTACATTTCTATTGGGAAATCTCTTTTGTTTGTTATGCCTTCTGAAACAAAAATTGTTGAGAGGTTAGAAGAGAAGAAGATACCCCTTCAAGTCACAAAGGTATGAATTATATTGCTCCATCTATTTATAAAATACTCGAGCTGGCTTATGAACCTTTTGGTTTCATATATGGATTATCTTTTAAAATCTTCAATGAAGTGAAACCTTGTAATATACGCACTACTCCATTTGTCCCTAGAACTCCTGTTGCGGGTTGCACGATGCTTGTCCCACAAAGATTTGCCCATTCACTTTTTCAGGGTCAATTTTTATCACTTTCTTTGCTTAATTTCATTACTCATTTGATAAAATGAGTAACTGCATGCAGCAGAGATGCGGATGTTGCGGTGGATGTGTGGGCATACAAGCTTGAATAGGATTCAAAATGAGGTTATTTGTGGAAGGGTGGGTGTGCCACCTATTTAGGATAAGCTGTGATGTGCTAGGTTGAGATGATTTGGTCCTGTGAAGCAGCGTAGCGTTACAAGCCCTGGTACGGGAGATGGGGAAGGGGTAGACCTAGGAAGAATTGGAAGGAGGTGATTAGGCAGGACTTAACATTGTTGGCCCTTACCGAGGATATGACCTTAGGTTAGAGCGTCTAGAGATTTAGGATTATAGTAGGCAGGGGCGGATCCATAGCTTAATAATTGGGGGCAATGGCCCCCTACTAGTTTTAAGTTTTTGTTTATCATGTGTATTGTGATACTTTAATTTTTTAATTTTTTTTAGAGTTATGTAATGTATGACCCCAACTAAAAATATTAGAAAACCTAATAAAAAGTATTAGAGGCCTCAATTAATAGTATTAAGTAAGAAAAAACTGAGAGAAATCAAATATTTAGATATTAAAAAAAATAGAATTTTAAAGTGAAATGTTTTAAAATGCAAAGATAAATTCTAAAGTAGTACACTAAAAATATACAGAGTGATAATTAAACTAATTTATAATATTGGCATTAAAAAAAATTATTTTTTATTTTTTTAATATTTGAATAACTATTTAAGGGTAAATTCAATTTTTTTAAAGTCTCGCATTGCATGTATAAAAAAAATTTGGGAAGCTGTCCAAAAACATTTGAAAGGTGACCCCTACTATTTAATATTCTGGATCCGCCACTGATAGTAGGTTGGTGTTTAACTTGGGTGGTAGTTTTAATTTCTTATTGTTGCGTGTGCCATCATTCCACTTTTCTTACCCCTAATTTGCTCTTTCATTTTCTTATCGTGCTATATGTTTTCTGTGTTACTCAAGTTTGGGTCCAAACACCCTCTCTACTTTTTAGTAGAGGTAAGGTCTCCTCACACCCCCACCCCAAAACTTTTGTGGGATTGAATTGGGTTGTTGTCACCTTTTGTTTCGAAGAACTTTTGTTGTAGTTTTTGAATATATAAATTTTGGTTTTTTTATTCCAATTGTCATATAAATTGAATTGAAAATAAAAACATTGTAATCTAAATCGGGCAAATCGTTGTGGGACAGAGGGATCATTTGAAAATTACATAAAAGTACAAAACAAATATGACAAGATTACTATTTTATCAAATGATTAATGAAACGGGAAAAGTGGTCAAAGTTTGACCATGTGAGTATGTAATCGGAAATTCTTTTTGGAATTGGGACGGAGGGAGTAGTTTCTAGCTAAATTGGAATTTGAATTTTGAGTACTTTTTTCATTCTTGATGAAATAAGATGGTGAATCTAATATTATTATTATCTTAAATTTTTCTTTAAGGCAAATGCAGAGTTCTTGCAATCTATCTCCGGATTATTAGGTGCCTTGCTGGTTGAGAGTCCTGAACTACGACTTCTGGCACAAAGAGCATTCGCAACTTATGTGAAGTCTATTTATATACGGAGCGATAAAGAAATATTTGATGTCACAAAGCTTCCGCTTGAGGAGTTTTCTGCTTCTTTGGGTCTTCCAATGATCCCAAGATTAAGATTTTTGAAGCAGAAATTAAAGGGTAAGACTGTGTCTGAAGCCTTAGCTGCCATGCCAGAAAGGAATGAGAATTTGCTGGAATTTCCAATTAAGAAACCAGATGCTGTAGAATCTGATGATGATGATGATACCCTTATTTCTAAAGACACGCTTACTGCAAGTAACATTAAAATAGTCGGGCCTGCAGATAATATGTATGCACTCTTTACCTCTTTGAAGCATTCAGATAGTTTACATCTCCACACTACATTTTCTCTTAACACTAGGTTAGATTCAAGGAATTTGGAATAAAAAGAAAAAAAAATAGTTTTTTCTCATTTTCCTCGCCAAAATGGGAGGAATTTTGCCTTCTCATTTTCTTTCCCTTTCATTTTCCTTTTACTTTTCTCTCTAACCAAACTTATAAAGTTGTTTTCCTTCCTATTTTCTTTTCCGTGTCAAATTCCTTGAACCAAACATAGTCTAAAGGTGGTTAATGAGAAAAGGCCTAATGATTTTGTTTTGCTTCATTTTTCTTTCCATGCTAATAGGCCCGCATCTAGAGTTTTGAAGAAAAAGAAGCTAAAGATTCATGCGGGTAGACCGTACGGGACACGGGTTGTATTTGATGAGAAGGGTGACACATTACCTCCACTAGCAAAGTTAGCAGAGGCAGTGGTTGATGGGGATAAAGTTTCTCTTGACATAAACAAAGGTGCATTTTAATTGCTTTCTGGTTGCTTCATAGGCCATTAAAGAAAGCTGGATTTTACATTTCTTGACATTGCTATTCAATGTTCTTGATGCAGTTAATGAAAGATATGCCAATCTCAGAAAAGAGTTGAAGATGGTAGACAAAGATGACAAAGATTTGGACCGTCGGCGCCGGAAAGAGAAACGACTCAAGGAGAAGATGAAGTTGAAGAGAGGGAGAGACAGAGAATGTGAAGAGGAAGAGGAAGAAGAGGAAGGGGATCATTTGTGTTCAGATGCCGACGCCCGCAGGGGTAAAACGGGAAATAAAAGGATTCGTTTTGATAGTGATGATGATGATGATGATGGGAAGGAGAACGGTGAGACTTCTAAAGCGGGTATGAGGACGGATCCTATTTCCTTGGCAGAGCAAGAGGAATTGGCTCTCAAACTGCTCAGTAACATGCACTCATAACCCTTTATTTGATGGCTTAGATATACTCCGTAGTGAATAAAGCCTTGGTTCTTACTTTCTTTTCTTTCTTTGTTTCTTGACAAGGCAGCTGGTATTTCTTTTCCTTCTATTGATTGTTTAAATTCATAGTTCCTGTGGTCAATTTTTTTTAAAGATTTATATTATTAAAAAATCAGGTCTCTTTCATACTAGCACCTAGCACATCCTTTTTTTTGTGTGTTACTCCCTCTGTCCCAAATTATAATGCCTGTTTACTATTCACAGGGTCAAACTTCAGTCACTTTCTTTCTCTATTTTCGTTAGCAATTTGATAAAATAAAATATTATTGTCACTACTAGTTTTGTAGATCTTTTGATGTAGTTTTTTAATATGTAATTTTTATTTTTTAATTCTATACCATTTTTCATATAAAATGGTTTGAAAATAATTTCAGTCAAACATCGTAAACCGAAACAGGCGTTATAAAATGGGACGGAGGTAGTATTAATTTTATTACAAGGTGGAATTTGTTCATGTTTTTCCAATTTCATCATGTAGAGTGAGCTAATGCTTTCAAATTCAAATTATATGCCTATAAAATGTTATTTATGCCTAAAAAAGCATGTTTTACAAAAAAAACATGTTATAAACAAAAATAGTTTTTTTTTAAATCAATCATCTTTGAACTTTTCATAAAATACATTTTTTCACTTTTTTTTAGCACTAAAAAAATAATGAAAAATATTTATATACTTCATATAAAGTTTGAGAGTTAGGATTCTAGTGACATGTGACACGCTTATTAGAGTGCTTATGTGGCATAATCTTGACAAATAAACTCACACCTAAGCTAGCACATGTTATAAAAAGTTACTCAGTATTCTTTCCTTAGCAATCACGAGCTACTTTTTAAAAATGGTTAGTTTTTATAATTATGATGGTACTAAATTATATTTATATTGACCTCTTAAGTCATACTCCCTCTATTTCAAATTATAATGTGTGTTTTCCTTTTTTGTCCGTCCCAAAATGATATGCATGTTTCTTTATTTGGTATGAATATTTATGTGGACTTTCTAAAATACCCTTCCATGTAATTACTCCTACCCATCCTTTTTTACTCTCACCCACCAATTCATCTTCTTTGCATTCATTCCTAATCTTATCTTTCTCTTCCTTTCTCCGCCAACATTATCCTCATTGTTTCTCTTTCATCATCTCTGCGTCTCTCTTCTTTCATCGCTTTCTTTTTTCACAGATCTGCTTTTCATCCTTCTAGTCTTCTAACCTTTCATTGTTCTCCTCTCTCCTTTCATCTATTCTTGTTTTTCTGGAATTTGGATCTAAGATTTTTTCTGTATCTGCGATTCAGATTTAGGGACACCTGACCCCTTTCAAGATCTAAGGTTAGTTTATTTAACATTTCCCTATATTAATCTTATTTAAACAATGTAATTAATATTTTCATTTGTTTTTTCTATAGATTGCAGAGATGGATGGAACACATGATGAAATGGATTTCTCATTTGCCCATACTACTCCCGATTCATACGAATCAGAGCTTGAATAAATTTTTGATGAGATTCGTATTGAAAAGCAGATGGAAATGTTGAGAGAAAGGTTTGCTGCCTATTACAAGTCTCCTGGAGAGGATGAGCCCAAAGAGAATGAGCCTAAAGGGGATGAGCCCAAAGAGGATGAGCTTAAAGAGGATGAGCCCAAAGGGGATGAGCCTAAAGAGGATGATCGTAAAGAGGAAAAGCAGAAAGAGGATGAGGATGATGATTACACCCAAAGGGATGCTACAAAGACTTCTAGGGGAGTATTCCTCTCTTCTTATGTGGGTGTAATATTTCAATTATGTGTCTCCTTATGTGCATTAGTCTACTTGGTGACACTAACTGAGAAATTAATGATGACAATTTACACTAAACTTTACCCTATGACTATATGCATGTGTGTTGTTTGCGTGTTGTTTGCAATTTGCTTATGGTGAGTTTGCTAGTATTTATGATGTTACTATTTGTGTTATAGAGCCCTAACATGTGTTTTTAAAGCCACTCACTTCAGATTAGTATAGAAGGTAACATTCTGTGGCCTCCCATTATATCTAATGTGTTTGGAGGTTTTAAGACTATGAACAAACATACATTCATCCCAAAAAAATGTTTGCTTACAATACTGTCCATACACACTTTTGACAAAAGAAACCAGTAAAGTGCATATGATGAGAACATTTTAAAAAACAAAAAACAAAATGATGAGAACAATTACACTGCTTCTGATGCACTCCCTTCCCCACTTTTAGCTAGGACACCTTGTAAAGCACACACACTGGTCTCGTATAATTCTGTGCTTACCTGAAGTTGGTTTGACAATGCACCTTCCCTCTCTAGTCTTGCCTTGCCAATGTGTGCCAACTTGTAATTATTTCCTTCTTGTACCTTCATGATCTCTGTCATTGCTAACTGGTAACTAATTCAAACATGGTTGAGTTTCTTAGCTTCTAAATTGGCATATGCCTCAGCCACATGTTACACCAACTCATCCACATTTTTGGTTGATCTCTGGTGTTGTAAGGACTGTATTGATGCAAAGAATCCAAGTTCTAAAATATTTGGGTCTGGTGAGTTTGGTGGTTGACAAGTAAGCTCAATGTTGTAACATAAGCATTGGCTGCTTGCACAAACTCTGTGTCGTTAACATCAATATGTAGCTTGGCATTATCCTACTGTGTGATGATGTCTTTTTTATTGCTTCTGGTACTTTCTCTATGATTGATGGCAGGACTTGCTGAATCACCAGTCTTCTGTACATCTCTTTTTTGATTTTAGGTATGGGTCTGGTCTCTAAACTTTTTGCTACCCTCTTCTTACTCTTCCTTTGTGTATGAACTTGAATTGTTAGAGGCTAAATGCCTGCTCTCCCATCCCAAATTACCTCTCCTTTAGGACCAAAGATAGGCATCCCTACTGCACACATCAAATTGGGAATGTGAGCCTTACTTTTAGCTGTCCTATGAGGCTCTATCTCCCTTTTAGTTTTATATACTCAATGATTATTTGGACATTTTAAACTATTTTTCATCCACATGAATAGTAGAGGAAAAATCTTGAAAAGTGGGAGAGTGGGGATGGGACTCTTAAACAAACTGGTTTAATACAAAAGTTAACCTTTTTAACTTGCTCTCTTCTGTGAGGAAAGACTTGATAGCATTTGTGTGGCTTTGTAGTTTCCCTCGTTGTATGCACCTATGTAGTGTGGATTGGGTTACTTTTTAAGTTTTTAAAAATTAAAAAAGAAATCTTTTGAAATAATAATTTTTTAAAGTAAGGAATATAAAGAAACTATGAGCAAGTAGAGAACAAAAAGGGGCTCTAGCACGGATCTCGAGGTCTAATAACTTGGACCGGACTGGTTAGACTACCGGTTCACAAAAAGGGGCTGTAGCATGGATCTCACGGGCTCTACTCGTTCGATCCGGTTTTTAAAAGGGACCATGCTAGAGTGCCACCACATGGGTGCTACCATGGGTGCACCATGCTTCACACAGAAAAATACAGACGATAATTGTCTATGCGACACAGACAATTATCATATGTGTTTGTTGCAAAGCATGGGTGCACCCATGGTAGCACCCATGTGGTGGCACCCTAGCATTTTACTTTTAAAAGTGGGTCAAATGAGTAATGACTGGAACTTCAGCTTTACGCCGAGACCTCTCTATTTAGATCGAAAGTCGACTCGCGAGACACGGTGCGAACGTTACTACTCGTAGTTTTTCTCCATCTCTCTTCACCCCTTTACCCTAGGGTTAAAGCCAAATCTCAATTCCGCTTCGACGATGATGCAACCAGGCAGCATGGTCCCTTCACCGATGCCTCCCATGTCTGCAGATCCATCCCAGCAGCAGCAGTACCAACAACCACCTCAGCCGTGGATGCTGCATCCGCCGCAGCCGCCTATGCAGCCGCAGCATCCGGCCGCCTGGGCGCAACAGCCGCCGCCGATGTCACATCCCATGCTCGCTCCTTATCAAACCCAGCCACCGCAACAGTATTCCGGTGCATATACAGGCACATCACCAGCCGCGTCGTCCAGCCCCAATGAAGTTAAGTCTCTATGGATCGGTGACTTGCAGTATTGGATGGACGAGAGCTATCTTAGTGGATGCTTTTCTCATACTGCAGAGGTGCATCTTTTATTGATGTTAATTTTTGCAATTCACGAAGTATAATTTGTTCTTGATTATTTTTCGCTACCTGTTATGGAGTATTTCTTAATTGCCAATATTTTGATTATGCCAGAAGAATTGGCTTCTTTAATTCAAATCAAATTTTTTTAACGTTCTAAATGAACCTTTTTATCTGGCATAAACTCTGATTGAATGCTTTTCAAGGACATAGCTAACCATCTGGGTTCTGGTTTCAGATTGCATCCGTGAAGGTCATTCGCAACAAATTCACTGCTCAACCTGAGGGTTATGGATTTATTGAGTTCAGGAGCCGTGCCGCAGCTGAGGCTATCTTGCAAGCTTATAATGGAACATTGATGCCAAGTACATCAGACAAGTATTTCAGGATGAATTGGGCAACGCTTGGAGCTGGTGAAAGACGGGATAACGCACCTGAACATACAATTTTTGTGGGTGATTTGTCTGCGGATGTGAATGATTACTTGCTACAAGAAACATTTAAAGCTGTCTACTCATCGGTGAAAGGTGCTAAGGTTGTTACTGATAAGAACACGGGATGCTCAAAGGGTTATGGATTTGTCAAATTTGCGGATGAGAGCGAACAACTTCGAGCCCTCACTGAGATGAATGGAGTGCTGTGCTCAACAAGGCCCATGCGTGTTGGCCCTGCTAATAAACAGCCGGTTGGTGCGCCGCAGAAAGGTAGGTTATATACTTAAGCACTGGAATTCCAGGGTCCTGTTCATTCTTTCTGTTTTTTGTTTCATAGAAGTTTGCTCTAACTGTTCGGTGTGCTCTATTTATGGTTAAATTGATGCTTGTTGATGTGGCGCCTTTCTTGAAGAGGGGTTCGAGTTTACACATATGGAGATTATAGTTCATTTCTCTTTGAGTCATACACTTCAAGATTCACAGAATTTACCAAGTCATTTTTTTCCTGTTCTTTCTTTCCTAAACTTGGGCAGCTTAAATTATTCGAAACTTGCTCAAACTTATTAAAGTCATGTTGTGTCAAAGCAGGAAACAGAGAGGCTCTCGTATATGGGGGCCTGGAACTGATTTCAGCTGAAATGATTACCATTTAGTGCGTGGCATCATTTTAGGTCAGTTAATTTGCTTATGCCGTAAGCTTCCTTCAATTTTTTTGTGGCATTTCTTATGCTACACTAAGTTACTTTCCAGTTCGTTTTGAATTCAGCACCCGACAAATTTATTTTCTGGATTGCCAAGCATTAAATTTCCGTATATTTCTTTTCCAGTTCCTATCAATCCTAAAGTATCACTTTTCCCTTTCATTTTTCATTTTATGGGGTGATTCGTTTCCTCCAGTTAAACATTGCTGCTGCAAGCTGCTCACATTTCCATTTTTGTTGTTTCTAAGTTTCAGCTCATGAGTCATACTAAGTTAAATTTTTCTTCATTGGTCATTAGGATTAAGGAGGGTGTACATATCTAGTTGTGTTCAATCTTTACATTTTTTTAGAGAGAAGTGCTAATCTATTACTCGTATATATCTTGTGTCCCCGTTGTATATGTTGGATTCAATTGATTGTGTTAGGAATTTCCTTATTTGTCTAGACTTGCAGAGCTAATGGTGAAAGGAGGTAAATTGAATTGATGAATACTGCATGGTAGAGTTGTAAGCATGTATCGTTACGGTATGCAGTTATGCATGCCAACCACTAGAAAGCTAACCCATTGATATCTGGTTCAAGCTTGGTTGTTCTTTCTGTTATGATAATCTTTGCCCTACTTCTTCCATTTCTTTTGATGTCAGGGAGTATTGAGATATCATTGTTGATCTACATTTTTTATTTGCTTTTTTGTTGCTTTTCTCCGATCTTATTCTTCTCATATGAGTATCATGATTTTACTATTTTAGATGTGTGCAATGTTTGCTGTGCTTTTGGTTGTTAAAATTGCAATTTGTAGTTCTATCATGGCATTGCAGGCTTGTTATTTCTTTTTTGTGCACATGATGTAGGTTGTTTTAAGATTTCATTGAGGAACACAATTTGTTAATTCTGTTTACCTCATCCTTGTATTTCTCCTCTTGCTCATTGCAGCTACATATCTAAACCCACCTGCAAGTCAAGGCGAGAGTGACCCTAATAACACAACAGTGGGTAGCTTGTTTTAGTGTTTTTTTCTTGTTTTGTTAATGTATTTTGTTTAACGGGCACTCCAATGCACAGATATTTGTTGGTGGTTTGGACCCCAATGTTACTGAGGAGCTTTTGGGGCAATTTTTTTCTCAGCATGGTGAAGTAGTTCATATAAAAATAGTTTCTGGAAAGCGTTGTGGCTTTGTTCAATTTTCTACTAGGTAATTAAGATACATTGGCTTTGATTTTGAACTTTGAAAGGTTTTAAAAGATTGGCATTTTCGAAGTGTTTTCCCAGCATGGTGAAGTAGTTCAATAAAAAAAAGTCCCTTTATACTTCCCTTTGCATTTTCCAAGCAGAGACTTCACGTGTTTTTTAAAACTTTTTTACCTTATGCACATATTTTGTGCATGTTTGCGCGTGTGTCTAGGGCTTCTGCAGAACAGGCTCTGTCAAGTTTGCAGGGCACACAGATAGGGGACCATAGCATTCGGCTTTCATGGGGACGCAGTCCCTCTAACAAGCAGGTCAATTACTGTTGAGTCTTTTATGCCTGTATTTGTTTTATTTTCTCTTCAAATCTTTTGAGTTTTTCTTTTGATGCTGCAGTCATCAGATCAGACAAAATGGGGCGGTTCGTATTATGGATATGGACAAGGATATGAGGCTTACGGATATGCCCCTCCCCCTCAAACTCAGGACCCTAATATGTTCTATGGTAGTTATCCGGGATATACAGCCAACTATCAACAGCTACGTCAGGTATTATATATAATGTAAACAACAACGGTACATTCTTCCAAGAACCTGCTAATAGCCTTAGCCTCCTAATCTTAATACAACAATGGGCCTGTTTGGTAAGGGTTAGTTGGCTTAATCTATTGAGTTTTTCAAGGAAAAAAGTTCAGTAACATTAAATTCAGCCAAATAATCTTGGGTATGGATACCAAATGGGTCCTAAAGTATGCATTAAATGATTTCTGTTATTTCCCTTTTGCAGTGAGATGTTCCCAGTTAATTAATCGATCATACCCTTGTGATGAGCTTTCCTGTTAGGTCTACTACTGGGTGTTGTTCTGCCCTCTTATATTCTCTCCCTTCCCTTTTTTTTCTTTTAATAATAAGATTCTTGTCTTATGCGTTGTACTTGATTTTGCTACAGAGTGTGTTCTATTAAAGTTTATGTCATTAAGTCCATATAGCTGCAATAGCAGCTGCTGCTGCTACCTTTAATTTTTTAACGGGAAATGCTTGGTTCACAAGCACAATCATTATAAACTTCACAAACTTACTATTTGTGAACTTCTATAAAAAAAATTAATAGTCTAAAATAATTTTAAAATGAGAATTTAAATCATAAATAGTAAGTTTGTAGAGTTTGTGACCAATCCTGTTTGTGAACGTAGCATTGTCCTTTTTAAACACCCAATTTGGAATTTCATATACTCGGGGGTATTTGGAGTGAATTTCAGTGATGGTACCTGAACTTTGAGCCATAAGTATTTATACATTATTTCTTTTCAAAAAAATATTTGAACTTTGAAGAAATTTCACAAAATTGCTTGAAGCCTGTTTTCAGCTGACTATTAGGTCACTTTGGGCGTAATTACAATTTTATATATTTAGAATTTTAAATCTTGACCCCGCAGTTTTTCTTTTCTCTCAGATTCTCTCCTTTCTTCTTCTGCAGTCCCACTCCCCCATCCTTTTTGGAGAAGAAAGAGAGAATATGAGGGAAAAAACGTAGGGTTAAAATTAAAAATTAGAAATAGATAAACTACAATTGCCCTTCAGTAACATGGCTTGTGCGATGAATTAATCTTGGATTGTTGTGACCCTTGAGAACTGGTTCTGTTCTAGATTGTACCTCAAAATCTTGGACTCTTAGGGTTTGTTTGGTAAGTTAAAAAAAAATATGAGGCCCCATTTGGTACATGGAATTCAAATTATGGAATTGGAATTGGCGATTTCAATTCCAATTTTGGTGTTTGGTAGCACAAAAATTATGTGGATTTGAAATTGACTGCAAAAAATGAATTGGAATAGGTGAAATCAATTCTATGGAATTGAATCTCATAAAATTTCAATTCTAATTTATTTCCAATTTCATCAATTCCGTATACCAAACGGACTCTGAGTTTTGATATCTAAGATATCAAAATCTAAGAAAGTTGTTTGGTGAGTACAAAAGAAATTAGGGGTGGGCGCGGTCCTGATGGTCCGTGATACTACGGGAACCTATCACGAACCGCTATTATTTAAACGGTTCGGTATCGGTATGGGATGAACTCCAAAACCATTCGGTACCATTCCGTTTTGAAACGGAACGGTACAATACCATACCCATGCTCAAACCGTGCCAAAAAATATTGAATTTAATGTATAAATTTGTAAAAAAAAAGCACAAGAATGTTAAATAAAAGTATTCATCTCAAATTTAAACGGATTATAAACATAAAGAATAAAAGATAACGAGTCCAAAGTTAAAAAATATTTTTTTTTTCAATTCATATAATATCAGAATACTAATAACTATAAGAAAAATAATTCCAATAGTAATGATAAATATATAACAACAATAATAATGAGAGAGTTTTAAAATAAATAATAAAATACGAAGTACTCTATACACGGTAAGACAAAGTAGACAAATACTCCATAATTATTTGAGATACGTGCTTCGTATATAGTGTTGAACGGTTCGGTTCGTGATAATCGATTTTAAATATTTGTATCATGGTCCCGTCCCATTTGGTATCGGTTCGGTTTCGGTTCGTGATGAAAAAAATCAATCCCATTTGAAAACACTATAAACGGTTCGGTACCATTACGGTCCGGTATGGTACCATGCTGATGGGTGGATTCCACCCACGACCGGTCAAAGGAGAAGGCCAAATCGTTGACCGGTCAATCTCGAGAGTTTTGGAAGGGAGACTTAAATCGTCAGCAAAACGACATATCATCGGCCAAAATGTGACCGGTATACTTCACAAAAAAGTATACCGGTCAAACTACGTTGTCATCCTATTTATTCCAGACTTCGATAAATTCATCCCTCGGAGATTACCCGGTGTAGTTTCTGGGGTTGGAAAGTGTCGGCAGAAGAGGATCTGCGAGGGTTTGGCGTGTAGCGACCCGTGTCAGTAGAGGACAACTGGAGATGCTGAAGAATCCATCCAAGGCGCTACTCGACAAAGGGAATGATCCCCCTCACAAGGCGACAAGGCAGCTCGAGGACGAAACCAGTCACCTCGCACCACATCAGCAGCATGCCCCCACGTGGGCGCACGTGGTCCTGTCCCCTTAGCCTAGTAT